TCCCAAATTTTTCATTGATGATCTTCATAATTCTGGGACTCACATTTAGGTCCTTGATCCATGTTGAGTTGGTTTTTGTATATGGTGTGAGGTGATCTAAAGTCTCTCGACATGATTTTTATATATGTATTTCTTCCATGTATTTCTTTAGCTTCATAAAACTCCATTGAATTTACCTTTGTAGGAGAGCTATGTGCAAAATACCTGGATGTTTCTTGCTTGACCTTGAGAAGTCAAAGCAGTATTCTGGAAAGAATTTCAAGCAAAATAAGGATGAGCTGGTTCAGAAAATCTACAACCTTTTTAACAGCTCTGTCTTTGATAAAAAGGTAAGATCCACAAACGAGTCTTTTTTGAGTACCTGCTATATGCCTAGCAGTCTTAGGAGCTGTGTGGTACAGATATGCTAACCATGTACATTTACTGCCCTTTAGAAGTGTCAGTCTAGACGGAAAGATGAGACACACATGAAAGGTAGAAACTAGTATTACCACAGGAAATCAACAAAAGGAGAAATTATTAAGGAGCTCTGGTAGCGTAGTGGTTACGAATCGGGCTGTGAACGGCAAGGTCAGCAGTTCAAAACTACCAGCTGCTCAGCGGGAGAAAGATGAGGCTTTCTGCTCCCGTAAAGATTTATAGCCTCGGAAATACTGTTCAGGGTCGCTATGGGTCAGAACCGACTCAGCGGCACTTAACAACAACAACAACAACAAGGAGTCAGGAAAGAGGATTTCTTGGAGGAAATGAAACTTATTCTGGTTCTTGAAAACTTAGTGGAAAGAACAACACTGACGGGGGAGAAAGCATGTCTTGATACTTGACTATCTGAAAAAGAGGATTCATGCTAAAGAATAATAGGAAAGAGCTCTGTGACTTTATTATTTAACCTCTGCTTCAGCTTCCTTATCTGTAAAGTGGGAACAACAGTAACTACTACCTCACAGAATTTTTGTTAGGCTTAAGTAAAGCTAATAAACATAAAAAGCTTAGACCAGTGGCTAGGACATAGTAAATGATACGTGTTAGCTATTATATTTGACAGCGTAGGCCCAGATAATGGAGTCCTGGTGTGGCACTGTAGGATAAGCACTGGACTGCTAACCACAAGGTCGGTGGTTCAAACCCGCCAGCCACTCCTTGGAAACCCTATACAGGGGGTCTCTATGAATTGGAACTGACTCTGCAGCACTTAACAACAGACCCACATAATGGAGGGCGTAGAACATTAGGTAGGAGGAGCTTAAATTTAAGTAGGCATAGCAGCATAGGAATTTGATGAGACGTCTTAAAAGAGATTGATCTGACAGCATGGTTGGAGAGAATCTAGGGCAGTGAGACTTTTTGGTCATGAGATTCTTGAGATCGTTGTCTCTAGTGGCAAAATATCCGGTAAGGAAAGTTCTTGTGTCTTTTTAATGATTCTCTAGCTTTCGGCATCCTTCCTAATGACAGTGGTGCTATATCAAATAATGGATTAATGGAACCTGAAGTGTTCTGAGTTGCATTTTCAATGTTGTCTCACCACTCTTATGTATAGGCTTAGCTCTCACCTCAGCAGGCTGCTCCAGACTTATTCTTAGGATTCCCCTTTGGGTCCAATCATTAGTTCTATTTATCTGGGCTTCAACTTGGCTTTTATTCAGCCCCACACTGTTTAGATTTGTGTGCCTTTTTGAATAGATACCTTCTCAAAACCCAAAAAGCCAAGAGCAAGGGGGAGAAAAAAAGTCCTCCTATTTTTCATTAGAGAGAGAAAAACTCTTGAATTAATATTTTGTTTTTTAAATGCTTTATTGTGAATTATGTGATAATTTACATGGGAGAACATTAGCTTTACATTCATCCTATCGTATATCATTTCATTGTCATGGTTACAATCCCCTCCATGCATCATCAACCAACCAAAGTGTATACCCTGCAAGCCAGCACCTCGGTCGTCAGCACACAGTCCCCCCCTCTCTCTCCAGGCCTAGGGTTCCTAGCTGCTCCATGTCTCCATGTCATCGTCTCTGCCTCCATCTCTGGCGTCACTGTTTCTCTGGGTAGGGTCCCGCACTCTGCTCTTCTCCCTTGATGGTCCCAGGCACCTCTGCTCCTGGACTGCAAAGTCAATCACTCCCCTCCTTTTGCTACAAAACGTCTACCGTTACATTTCCAACCCTCACAGTCAGTCCTGATAACAATTATTCACCATTTTACCACAAGAGACCTATCCACATCTCCTTTCATCAGCCGAGCCCAGACAGATTAGATACTACTCAGTGGAGAGTCTACCTTCCTCTGCACGCTCTGGATCTAGGCTCCCTCTTAAAAGCTTGTAACCTAGTCACTTCTTGCCTTTGTAGGCCCCTCCCCCCAATTTTGAATTAATATTTTCTTGTCTGCTTAGAATTGTTTAATTCTATTTGTGTTTTGTTCTCAGATGCCAGAGAAAATAGATATTGGCTGGAATAAAAAGATGCTTAGAACTGCCGGTTTATGTACAACTGGCGAGACAAAGCACCCAAAGAAGCGATTTGCCAAGATCCAGATTGCTGTAAAAGTCTGTGACTCTGCAGGTGATAGCAGATGTAGGGCAGCTTTGCTGTTGTGTGTTTTCTTTGATACATTATCTGTTAAATTGCTCTTTGATGATGGTATTATGTGATAGCCTGTGTCACAGCTTTAACTGCTATTTCTGTATGAACAGGCTGACTGACTGTCCATAGGACATTCTTATTGGATATCTTACCATTCCTGAAAATCCAGCTTGTCAACCTCTACTAGTCCCTCTGCATTGTCCTAACCAAATCACATGGCCATTATGATTGCTCCCTACCCAGTACACTTAAATTTCTGAAGAGCAGAAACTATGTGTCTCATGAAAAAATGAGTACATTGGAGGTGCTCTGAAAACACTTGCCGGATATAGATACCTGACTTAATGCTTTCTGCTATTAATGAAATTAGATTGAAATAGGTGGAAATTTTTTCTTTCAAAGCCCTGGAAACTAACACTCATGCCTGTTATCATATGTTTATGTAAGGTGCCTTTGTGTCTGATTAGTGTGAGAGTCTAGGGGTTGTTGAGTAACAGTTTAGAAACGAACTGGATCAAGTGCTCATAGTTTCTTTTTATTCTTTTTCCAAGACCGACTCCGGGATACCTTGGTCCATGAAATATGCCATGCAGCCTCCTGGCTACTTGATGGTATCCGAGATTCTCATGGTGATATGTGGCAGTATTATGCCAAGAAATCCAATATGGTACACCCAGAGCTGCCAAGTATCACTCGTTGCCATAGCTATAAGATTAACTATAAGATTAATTATGAGTGTACTCAGTGCAAATCCAGGTAAGTCCTTTCTTCTCAGACCTTTTCTTACTATGCTATTACTGCAGCCTCCAAGAGGCTCTTCAGTGATTTTATTAGATGACTATCTGACTTGGGAGTCCTGGTGTGGTGCTGCAGGTTAATGTGCTGGACTACAAAGTCAGTTTGTACCACAAGGTTGGTGGTTCAAGCTCACCAGTCGCTCCTTGTAAACCCATGCAGGGTCGCTATGGGTCAGAACTGACTCGACAGCACTTAACAACAACAATCTGACTTGAGGAGTAAAACCACTCTGCCCACTTCCCACCTCCCTTATTTTCTTGTTCTTTCTCTCCATTATTTCCCCCTAACTTGAACATGCTTGACTGATGCCACTGCTTGGTGTTCTACAGGAAATTTTTGCTTTGGGCCCAAGGCCAAACAGCTCAGAGATGATGTTGAGGTCCATTGACTTTTTTTTTTTTTTTTTTTTCTTTCCTAGGATTGGCCGCTACACCAGATCATTGAACACTAAATTCTTTATCTGTGCTGTATGCAAAGGCAGTCTGGTTGAGCTGCCGTTAACTCGCAAAGATGGAACCCCCATTGAGCCTCATGTAAGACCATTCGCCAAATATGTTAAGGAGAATTACAGAATAGTTCAACGTGAGCTGGAAGGAAAGGGCCATGGTGATGTGATGAAAAGGCTCAGCCAGGATTATATTGCAAATAAACAAAAAAACAAGGTCATTGAAGACTCCATTGATAAGAAGCATTAAAAAACACAACTATTTCTGTGAAGTAGCAAATGTTAGCAGTTAAATAAATACTATTTGGGGGTTCGTGTTATTAATGATGATTGTCTTTAACTAGGGATCCTATTGCTGACCATTTTGTCGTCATGACAGTATACTAAGGCACTTCTGGATCCACCCTGGGTCTTAATTTGACTCCACAGTTTTCATATGTAGGATAAAATGCAAACAAAATGTGAGTTTTTGAGAGTAGCAGTTTGAATGAGAATAATGCTAGAGAGAGAATAGTTTTTAAGGCAGTTCAGATGTAACCTGTTAACACTTAACTGGAAATAAAAAACAGACATGTTTCGTTAATTTTGTTGCAATTAACTCTGAATAAAGCCATCTGTGTACCATGTAGTTCATAAAATAATACCATGTAGTTCATAAAATAAAGTGTTTTCTGCATTTCACTTGGCAAAGTCTGTTCATTGACTCCCTATCCCAAGAGCAGGATAAACCTTGGGCCTTTTATCCAAGACTCTGGACATCTGTTGTTGTTGTCAGGTACCATCGAGTCGGAACCGACTCATAGCGACCCCGTGCACAGCAGAACGAAACAATGTCCGATCCTGGGCCAACCTCACTACTGCCGCCACACTTGATGCCATCAATGATGTCACCTGGCTGATTCATCTCGTTGGGGGTCTTCCTCTTTTTCTCTGACCCTCCACCTTACCCAGCATGACATCCTTCTCTAGCGACTGTTCCCTCCTGACAATATGTCC